TGACGACGGACGGAAAATTAATTTTTTATGCTCCCAGTGAAAATTGTTACCCAAAAACTTGTCAAGAACGGCAAAAATATGCGTTTTCCGACTACTTCCGGTTTGGCCGGAAGTGACGTCGCCGAACGTATTTTGATGACTCTAATAGATTTACCTTGACATTTTGAACAACTTTGCTTCTTTGACGTATTAGAAATTCTCAATACTTTTTGAGATATAAAGGAAAAACTTCTGGCCCCTCTAGGCCCCTTATTTTAGGGGCTAGCCCTTTTCTAGAGATACCATTTGAAAGATCCTGAAATTCTACACTTCTTTCGTTCTATATATTTTAACAAAATATTTCCTGGTAAAAAGATATCATAGAAAAAGTGTTAAAAATTTTGAAATTCGCGATAGGCCTATTTTCGAGCCATAGCGCGCGCTGACGTGCAGCACTTCCGGTGAAAATGAAATACGTATGTCACATCTACATATATTGCTCTATCATTGCTGAAAAACTCAAGCTTCTATCCTAAGCCATTCATGAGAAAACTCGCGGACAAACTGACCCTCTGAAAATCACTAATTCGCGGATATCTCAAAACCGGAAGTGACGTCATCAAAACAAAAAATTATATATCAGCTTTGTTCGATGTTCTATCAATTCTGAAAGTTTCATGAAAATCGAACCAGCCGTTTCCGAGAACTCGCGTGCACAAAATCGGTAAGAAAAAAAAACAATAATAATAACTAGAGCCGAGCTCGTTGCAAAGCAACGAGTAGGTCTTCCGTCCTTTTTGACCGGAAAATCATCTGTAACTTTCATTTTTTTAAAAAGATGAGTAATGATGTCCAAAAATGGTTTAATCCTCCAAGTCTATATAAATTATTGTAATATTAAGCCATTTTTGGCTACTTCGGGTTTGACCGGAAGTGACGTCAACGGAGAGAAAATTAAGATTTAAGCTTCCAGTGACATATGTAACCCAAAAACCTGTCAGAAACAGCAAAAATATGCAATTTAAGACTACTTCCGGTTTGACCGGAATTGACGTCACCGGACGTATTTTGACGACTCCATTAGATAAAGCTTGACATATTGAACAACTTTGCTTCTTTGACGTATTACAAATTCTCAATACTTTTTGAGATATTAAAGAAAAAATTTCGGCCCCTTTTGGCTCTTTATTATAGGGATCAGCCCCTTATCGTTGATGTCATTCGAAAGATCGTGAGATTCTTTACAACTTTTGTTCTATATATTTTTACAAAATGTTAACATGTAAAAAGATATTGAAGAAAAGGTGTGAAAAATTTCTAAGTCCCCGATAGGATTTTTTTCGAGCCATAGCGAGCGCCGACGTGCGGCACTTCCGGAGAAAGAGAGTGGTGTGTGACAAAAGAGCACACATTGCTCTATCATCGCTGAAAATCTCATGTTTCTGTCTTAAGGCATTTTCGAGAAAAATGATGGACAATGAGACCCCCTGAAAATCACTAAATCGCGGAAATCTCAAAACCGGAAGTGACGTCATCAAAACAAAAAAATTACTTTCAGCTTTGCTTGATGTTCTATCAGTCCTGAAAGTTTCATGAAAATCTATCCAGCCGTTTTCGAGAAATCGCGTGCACAAAATCGGTAAGAAAAAAAAACAATAATAATAATAACTAGAGCCGAGCTCGTTGCAAAGCAACGAGTAGGTCTTCCGTCCTGTTTGACCGGAAGTGCATCTGTTACTTTCATTAAAAAAAAAAGAGTAATGAAGTTCAAAAATGGTTTAATCCTCCAAATCTATATTAATAATGCAATATTAAGCCATTTTTGGCTACTTCCGGTTTGACCGGAAGTGACGTCGACAGACAGAAAATAAAGATTTAAGCTTCCAGTGACATATGTTATCCAAAAACCTGTCAAAAACGGCAAAAATATGCAATTTTTGACTACTTCCGGTTTGACCGGAAGTGACGTCGCCGGACGTATTTTGACGACGCCATTAAATAGAGCTTGATATTTTGAACAACTTTGCTTCTTAGACGTATTACAAATTCTCAATACTTTTTGAGATATAAAGGAAAAAATTTCGGCCCCTTTTAGCCCTTAATTATAGGGGCCAGTCCCTTATCGTTGATATCTATCGAAAGATCGTGACATTCTTCACAACTTTTGTTCTATATGTTTTTACAAAATATTAACATGTAAAAAGATATTGCCAAAAATGTGTGAAAAGTTTCTAAATTCCCGATAGACCTTTTTTCGAGCCATAGCGAGCGCCGACGTGCTGCACTTCCGGAGAATAAGAAAGGTGTGTGTCACATCAGCACATGTTGCTCTATCATCGCTGATAATCTTACGTTTCTATCTAAAAGCACTTTTGAGAAAAATGCTGGACAATGTGACCCTCTGAAAATCACTTAATCGCGGAAATCTCGAAACCGGAAGTGACGTCATAAAAATAAAAAATATATATCAGGTTTGATTGATGTTCCATCAGGCCTGAAAGTTTCATGAAAATCGATCGAGCCGTTTCCGAGAAATCGCGTGCACAAAATCGGTAAGAAAAAAAACAATAATAAAAATAATAAAAATAGTGGAAAAGAAACCTAAGAATAACAAGAAGGTCTTCCGCTGAAGACGGAAGACCTTAATAAAAATAGTGGAAAAGAAACCTAAGAATAACAAAAAGGTCTTCCGCTGAAGACGGAAGACCTTAATAATAAGAAACAGAGTAAAAACAATATGTTCCCCAACTTCGTTTGGGGAACATGATAAATCTCTTTTTTCTTGTAGACTACGAATATATAAAGACATATAATACACTCAAAAATATATAAATATAGTAAAATGGAACGCTTTTGAGATAAATATAAGAATAATCATGTAGATATCAAAGCCCGTGGCTCGATGGGAATGGATTGAAACAGATATGGACAATCACTATCGCCCAGCAGAATGCGTGTTTCCTTGCACGTCACGTGATGGAATTTTAGTATTCACAGTTACCTGGGTATAGAAATCACGTGGTTAATTATAATATTCAACAGGTAACAACGTGGTCAAAATGGTCTGTTTACTATAGAGAAAGTGAACACACGAAGAAACTTTTTTTTTTGTCTTTTTAACTATGAGCGAATGTTTGTCTTTTGATCTCATTTAAATATGAGGTAATATTTATAAATATACACTACCATAAAAAGGAGAACAATAGACAAACATGCGCTGACTATGTATTAAGCCTATAAAAAGGTGGGCGTACTCATTATATCCTATGGAGATTCCAGAATATGCGATGACCCCTCCCTATGAAAACGACTTCGAACTTCGTTAATACGAACTTTTAATTAACGTAATTACACAAAATTGCAGTTAAGACATTGACCATTTCTACCATTAAAAGAAAAATGCCCGTTTTTAAAATTAATTATGTCGCAATTTCTAAGTTTCATTAAGTGCAGTCATCCTTTAATGAATTTTGGAATTTTATTTTGCGCAAAACATCGTGATCCAACTCTCATAGCTTAAGTGCACTCATTCTTTGATATATGTATATAACAGTCAATCGTCAGAGACACGTGTTTGAATTAAATTAAAGCAGTTAATGTATCAGATGTTGTACTTCTTGGTAGGCAAGGAATATACTACTTAGTAATCATTATTGACGCCAATGACAAACGTTTTAATTTTTTGGACAAATAATCGACACTTTTTAAAACAGTTGTAAGCAACAAACACAGTCAATAGGACCATTTCATGAAAGAAGCTGTACTAACTGCATCCTTCTGTCTTTCTCCTGTAGAATAAATAGAGAAAACAATCATTGATTTTAAACCATATTAAAATTCATTTAAAGAGTTGGCAGTCCTGCGTTTACTAAGTATACAAATCTCCTATCTAAAGTCTGGAAAAATGATACTTAAATTAAGACTGACAGTAAATAATTTCTAATTAACGTTTTCATTATATTTTTATGCACCCCTTTGGAGAGGGGAGGGCATATTGCTTTGCTGCTATCTGTATGTCGGTCGGTCTGTCTGTCGGCCCACCAAGTTTTCGTTCATTTTGCTTCGCAGTGGTTGCACATACTAAAATGATATTGGTATACAGATTTTTCATAAGAATATCTAGATCAACTTTTGTCTTCGGTACGATCGAGCCTTTTTGACAGAGTTATACCCTTTGTTCTTAAGGGAAAAACCAATTGGGGGGGGGGGCGCAAAATCCAATTATTTGCAGTTTCAGTTCCTTTTTTTCACAGAGGTTGTGCATACTGAAATTAAAAATTTGATATACAGTTTTTTCATATGAATAATTATGTCAGGTTCTGGATACAATCGAGCTATATTTGACATAGTTATGCTCCTAAGACTTAAAAGAATTTCCTATTTCCCATTATTTGCGGTTTCTGTTCATTTTCCTCGCAGAGGTTACACCTATTGATATAGAATTTGGTGTATAGTTTTTTATAAGAATATCTAAGACCATTTCTGTTTTGGTAACGATCAAACCATTTTTGACTGAGTTTTGCCATTGGACTCCAATTATTTTTTTTTTGGGGGGGGGGGGGGGGTAAGTTTTTCACAAACAAATGTTTTTTTTCTTTGTATTAAAGGTAAACCCTCACGCATTTGCGTTTGTCAACTAATAATATACAAAAATGTTATTATGTTATTATGGAGTAGTTATTAGGAAAGTAGCAAAATTATGGTTCCCCGAGGGACCAGCAGGACTTTTTCACATTGTATTCAGAATTATACTTTTTAATACTTAGTGTATACAAAAGTAACATCTGAAAAAATGTACATTATAACAACTTTGTTTCCCTTGTTGACTAACATTATTTATCTCGTGTTTGGTGTAACATGCACCTGTATCTTACCATTCATTATGTATCAAGGTTCAACAATATGCTGACATTTCTATGTGTCGTATTAAATAAATTTAAAATCCAACTTCACAATCCTCGTGGTTATCTAATATACAGAGAAAAAAACTAGGCCATTCAAGTAGGTAACACTTCACAAACATGGCTGCCAATAGCACAAAAAAATATACACTGGGATCTCCTCAAGAGCACATTCTTATGCGTGAATCTCACGATTCACCTATTGATGTTATATGTGAGGACTGTGATGAATTTATTTGTGGTGATTGTGCGAAATCAAATCACAGAGATCATAACTGGAAAACTTTAACCACGGCTGCCACCCAAAGAAGGAGAGGTCTGCTTCTATTTCTAAAGAAGATTAAGGAAGAGAATCTGCCTGGGATAGAGGAGAAGATAAAGAAAATCCCACAACAGATCACAGAAAATAAAGAGTTCTGCGACTCTGAGATTAAAAAGGTTCAGAAACATTATGATGAGATAATGGCGCGACTGACAGTCATCAAAAAACGCCATGGAGAAACACTGATGGAAAATTTGGTAAGAAAGAATGATCAACTGAACCATGTTAAATCTGAATTAGAGAAGAAGAGAAGAGGATTTGTTGACACAGTGGAATTCATTAAGGAGAATAACAGCACCATGTCAGATTACAGTTTGATTGACAACCACAGAGAACTGACAAAAATGATATCTGAATTAGAGGTTCATATGACAAACTGTGAACATTCAGTAAGATTTACTAGAAGTGAAATCAATGATGTCTTTCTTGAGTCTCTGTTTGGAAAAACTGTAGATTTAGATAATATTGGTGTAACTCAAAGAAAGTCATTTCAATATGGAGATAACAAAATATTTTTGTTGGAGACATTCATTGAAGATCAATGTTACATCAAAGATATTGACTCAGAATATATAGAAAAGGTGAATCAGCAAGGCGCAAAAAAACGAAAACTTAGTATCGATGCTAATGACATGTATGTTACTAGTAATGGTGATGTTTATTTAACTGATTCCAGTGACAACTCCATTAGCTGTCTGTCACCATCAGGATCTGTCTCCACAGTCATCAGTACAGATCCACTGGAACCAGGAGGAATCTGCCAGTCAGTGGGCGGTGGACTACTGGTCACATTGGCAGACAAAGATTCAGATCCTTACAAATTAAAGCCACATAGCAGACGTCTGATGAGACACATCACAGTGACAGGTGATGTCATCCGTGAGTATGAGTACCAGGAGGACGGTCAGACCAGACTGTTTACAGCGCCAAACAGAATCACACAGAACAGTAACAGTGTTATCTGTGTTGTGAACAGTAAAAGTGACACTGCAGGTGAACTAGTGATTATGTCTCCCTCTGGTCACGTGAAGTCTGTCTATCGTGGACAGAATCTGACAGAAAACTTTAATCCTACTGATGCGGTGTGTGACTCCCTCTGTAATATTCTTGTTGCAGATATTAACAACGAACTGATCATTATGTTGAGTCCTGATGGGGAGTTTCTTAAAATTCTACTACAAGAAGATGAAGAGATCACTCCATACTCGCTGTCCCTATACAAGTCTACACTGTGGGTCGGATACTGGGACGGACTTGTCAAAGTGTTCAATTACACAATTTAAAACAATTTAAATATACTTAAAGGCAGAGATTTTAAGCACCGCCTTCAAAAATACTTGGTCTGGGTAGCCCTGTCAGTCAAGTACATAAAGGTCTATCATTGGATGCTGGTACTTGTTTGACATTTACTTACTGGTCCCTGTGTATACCCTGTACACCTTGTTTGGGACTCGTGGGGACCTTCAAATTAACTTTTGATCCTTTCATGTTTACTGAACATGGTATACAGAAACTGTATTTACTACGAAAATTTTGGATTGATACTATATGAATTAAATATATCTTTAGTATTTGAAGGGATATAATATGCATTTTGTTAATTAACCTTTCGTACATAAAACTTATTTTCAAATGAAATTTCGATATTGATTTTAATATGCTAAATGATAAACCTAAAGTGGAAATGTTCTTGACAAAGTTCAGAGCAGCACTGTGTGAAGTAATTAAATTAAAAAATAATGTTTCTAATCATGGGTCACTTATATTTTCCTTTTTTATTCAGATAAAAATTTACAAGCAATCTTTTTTAGCATGTTTCATGGTGACAAAGCCTTATTAAGGCTAGGATAAACGGTAAAACCTAGATATTTTTTAGTGAAATGTGGTTAAAACGGCTCTCTTTCATTGATAGATGGGATCCTGGGGATGAATGAATAAGTCTAATTTGGTTGTTACAGGAGTTGTTTTATTTTAAATGAACACATACACTAACATCTAAAACAATCTTTGTTTTAATATTCGAATTTATATTATGATATCATAATAATTTTTTAAATGGGAAGGGGTGTTTTCAAACAGTCGAAAATCAATATACATGTATAATTGAAAACCTTTTTATTACTAATTTTTGAATTGTCTCAGAATTCCCAACACAGGTAAAGTTTGACACCTGGGTATTTCACTGTGTATTAATTCACTCCCTGTGTATAGGGATTAGGAGACAGATGACCACAAGTAGACTGCTAGCCCCCAAGGCATTCACACCTGTAAAAAATAAGCCCCTCCCTCACCTGGAATTTACCACCCGGTAAAAATCTTTGCCTTTAAGCTAGTACAAAAAACCATACAGTCTGTAATATTAAGCCATTTCTTATAAAGTACATAAGAAAAAATGATAATATCACTATACTGTGAATGATCTTTGAAAGAAAAATAATTAAGTTTTGACACGTTTTCGCCATATTTTGCATATTTTATTCAAATGCAAAACATATACTACATCGGTCACCTAAGGCCTATATTTTAGAATATTAAATATGCCGTCGAAATGCAATATAAGTGTCTGTTATTACATGAAAAGCAACAGTAGACCCATAAATAGTAATTACACCTGTAAAGACTTAATATGTGATTATGTATATAAGGAGCTTTAAGTACAAGAGGTCAAAGGTCAAACATTGTGACGTCATCGTTCAATTTTATGCATTTTGGCACATTTTATAACCACAGGAGTCTGAATTTTTTTATTGGCAAAATAATAATTAAACAAAAAAATCCGGAAAAAAAATTCCCCACACTCCAGTAAAAAATACCAGGATGGCTACTTGTTTTGGGGGGACCCACCAAAACAAATAGATCTGGGCTTGACCAGAAAAATCTCTAAACTAATTAGGTATCCAGACCGTTTGTGTTATTTATTCAAGTTGAAAATTCCAATCTGCTTGACGACTACGGGTCGTTCCTAGCCCTTTTTCTACTTTGACAGCTCATCCTGGACTCCATGCCACTAAAACCATAAGTGAATCACGCAGTGTATATTTGACGTCTATAAAAGCTTGCTCAAATAAAAGAAATGAATAATTATTCAACGTAATTTGATTCAGTAACTAGTATTTTAAATATATTTAAGAGGACTTTAAAAAGTTGTCAATTCTTTTTCTTTCTTATATGACGAAGTGAAAAATAATTTTACATCACATTATGGTAACATAATATTGCACATGAAGCTTTACATGCGATATTTTTTTTTCTTTTCTTCAATTACGTCAAATATTCACTGTTTTTCAAACAAAATAATGCCATACAAGATCGCTAAGTCTAGCTGTTTCGCTCTTTGTTGACTTGGCTTTTCAGTGATTTAAATTTGGCGCCTTGTAAAAACTGAATTATCTGTCCCTGGTACATTCGTCATATAAGTAAGAAAAAAGAATTGATAACATTTTAAAGTTCTCTAAAATATATTTAAAATAACTGAATCAAATTACTTTAAATAATTATTCATTTTATTTCATTTGAGCAAGCTTTTATAGACGTCAAATATACTTCTGGTTTAGTGGCATATGGAGTCCCTCTCACTAGATCTACCATCGGGAACGAACGATAACTCTGCATGGGAGATTGACGGAGTCCAGGATGAGCTCTCTAAGTAGAAAAAGGGCCAGGAACGACCCGTAGTCGTCACGCAGATTGGATTTTTCAACTTGAATAAATAACACAAACGCTCCGGATACTAAATTAGTTGCGAGATTTTTCTGGCCGAATCCAGATCTATTTGTTTAGGTGCCCCCCCCCCAAACACGTTGCCATCCTGGTGTGTTTTAGTGGAGGGTGGGAAATTTTTTCCGGATTTTTTTTTTTTTTTTTTTTTTTTTTTTTTTTTGACGATAAAATCTTCAGACTCCTGTGTTATAATGAATTCCTTTCAATTATTCCATTGATTTCATGTAAAAATTGAATTATATATTTTTTTAGGGGAAGTAAATTAAATTTTAACAAATTTACATGTCCATATAATATGTACACGTAAAAAAATTTCACTCCGGAGGTAGGTACTAGTAAATACATGTTCTGGTGTAATATAACATTTTGCTAAAATTTACCTGAATCATTAATCATTAATTCACATGACAAATGAAGGTCTAATATTTTTATATCTTGAGATTAGTCATCTAAAAATTTCCGTGTAAAATTATTCGAAATCTAATCATAAGTCTTTTAAGGTTGATCCAAGATCTTCAATCTGAGGAGAAGAAAACTCTTGATTTGGCACTCAACTAAACATCTAGATAAATATATCGACGAAGTTTCATCTATTAACAATGGTTGCTTCCATTCATATGTCGACTTGTTATTTCAGTGAACATGAAATATAAGACGCGTGATGCGATAAACCTTCTACCATCATAATATTATCACAGGAGTCTAAAGTTTTGATCGTAAAAAAAAAAAAATCCGGAAAAAAAATTTCCCACTCTCAACTATAGGAGTAAAATATCTTTTTTTTTTTTTTTTTCGTTAAAAACTTCAGACTCCTGTGGTTTCATATTTGGGATATTTTACAAAGTAGATGGCAAAAAAGAACTGTATGTAAAACGAAACGACCTTAGCGGTTCCATTGTCAACTTTCCTTAAAATACCCCGCTTGAATATTGGGGCATATATATAGTGATCGGGTCGTCCGTCTGTCTGTACGTCCGATCATCCATCCCCGCAGTCACTTTAGAGTTTGGATGAGCTGTAAAAGGGTGGGGTTTACTAGTCCTTACTGAATGTCAGTCTGATGACTAGTATAACAAGAGGCATTCTTTACATCTCAGTAGGAAAATTAAATCCCTAAAGTTTTTTCTTTGAATGTTATTGTCTTAAGCAAATAAAACGCATAGGTCGGTATGAAAACAAGATTTTTTATTTTGAAAACTTGATGAAAATCTAAAATAAAGACAATTATCTTTTAAAAATTAAAAATGTTTTTTTAATAAAATGCAATAATAATTGACAAAATTTCAGAGTACCGTATGCGTGTGAAAACAACATACACCAGTAGAAACTGTCTGTTAAGTATTGCATTGATCTGCTAATAATTAGATTTATATGTAATGAAATCATTTATTTTTTAATAAATAATAATATAATAAAAATATCTGCTGTGATTCATGTGTTTAACATTCTTTTGTTTTAACAACATTGGTATAAATAATACAGATTGCGGTAGCCAAAAATATCATTATCATTGTAATCCAAGATCCGTGGGTATATAGTTTTTTTGTCCTGTCCGTCTGTCTGTCTGTCTGTCTATATCTCTTCATCTGTTTGTTTGTCCTCAAAACCCATAATCTTGCCCATAGCCTTTGAGTGGGAAGGGTTATGGCTTTCATATTTCACAGGTGTATTCTTTATAACCAGACCTCTGGTACCAGTAAATTTCACCTTGTGACCATGAACTTATAGTTTGGCCACTTTTACCATAGCCATAACATTTGAATTGTTGGTAGTAGGTCTTTTATACTTCCCATATGTAATTACTGTAACAATACCTTTTAATTGGTATAAAAATATTTGATCTTTTGACCTTAGCCTTTAAAACTTTAACCTTGACCATAACTTTCGAAGCATTAGCATTGAAGCATCTATATTTCACAGGTGTATTCTGTTCTAACTTTGACCTTTTGGCCTTGACCTTAGAGTTTAACCCACTAAAAAACCATTGACCACAACTTTTGAACCATTAATACTTAGTTTATATTTCCTTGTGAGAAGACCTTCATTTGAGTACCATTCACTTTTACCTTTTGACCTTGACTTTGGATTGATTGATTGTATATTGTTTAACGTCCCTCTCGTATAATTTTTTTCACTCATACGGAGACGCCACCAACTGCCGGTGGAGAGCTGCAAATTTTGTCCTTTACTCGGCACTCAGGGCCATTGAGCAGGGAGATATCTTTTTCGTGCCAGCACCTACTGCGACACGGGACCTCGGTTTAAACGGTCTTATCCGAAGGACCGGTCTCCAAGTCCCTCAGTGGGATTCAAACTCGCGACATAAGGATCAACTCCTTACTTTGCGACTCTAAAGCAGACGCTCTAACCACTGCGCCACGCGGGCGACCCTTGACTTTGGAGTTTAATTTGCATTCAAAAAATTTAAACCCTCGCCGTATGCTGCCTTACGGCTTCAATGTGTGAAATATATGGAGATAACAAACAGTTGCAAGCTAAATAGTCCACAAAACGATATAAAATAAGAGTAGAGCAAACACAGACCTAAAAAACATCAGAGGTG